GGATGTGGCCTTAAAGCAAAATACGCTCCCTTATAAAAGGGGCGCCTTTTGCCTTGTTTCTTGCCCTATTGTGGTTCATTGTGTTCCCCTTAGTGCTCTTTGATTCTTCTTGCATATTTACTGTTGACGTGCGGTTCGAGGAAATAGATCACTGCATGGACCAGTTTGTCCTTGCTCTGCAGACTTTACTGGCTCATATGGCACATCTGCAAACTGAGGCACAAAATCTTATACCTTTAGTTGCTTCCCCTAACCTAGAGGTTTCCACAGGTAATACGTCCACTCATATGACGTCCCCTTTACGTTATGGAGGTGATCCTAGTGCATGCCGAGGGTTTTAAAACCAATTCAGCATACACTTCGAATTACAACCCAGGGCCTACCCCACCGACAGGGCTAGAGTGGGTTTTATGATCAACCTACTTCTAGATAGGGCATTGATATGGGAAAATAACAACCCCTTGGTATACAACTATGCTGAGTTTGTGACTGCATTCAGATGAACCTTTGATTCCCCCAGGAAGACGAGAGAATGCAGCCAACACTCTTAAGATGAAAGAAGGATCCCCTTCTCTTCTGGAGTGCGCTTTAGAATTTCGCACTTATGCTTCAGAAGTGCGATGGAACAACCAGACATTCGTAGACGTATTTATGAATGGTCTCTCGGATACCTTGTAGGATGATGTTGCAGCTAGGGACTTGCCAAATGATTTAGAAGACCTAATAACCTATCTGTCCCATATAGACGAGCGCCTCAGGCATAGACGTAACACCAGAGATCGACCAAGAAGAAGCCCAGTATGCTTGGCACTAACGTTCCCAACTTCGGAAACAACCACTGTGGCCATCCCTGAACCCGAAATGGCAGGCGCCTACTCTGCTTCCGGGTCGGGAGGCAGGGGGAGGGCTCTAGGAAGCAGCTCCCCTGTCCTCCCGCGCGATGCTGTGTGGAGCGTTGCCGCGCGTTACCCCCCCAGCAGTAACCCCTACCCCCCCAGCAGTAACCCCTACCCCCCCAGCACCCCTACCCTGCCCAGCAGTAACCCCTACCCTCCCAGCAGTAACCCCCACCCTCCCCAGCAGTAACTCCTACCCTGCCCAGAAGCAGTAACCCCACCCCCAGCAACCCCCACCCCTGCCCAGCAGTAACCCCTACCCCCAGCAGTAACCCCCCACCCCTGCCCAGCAGTAACCCCACCCTTCCCAGCAGTAACCCCCACCCCCCAGCAGTAACCCCCACCCCCAGCAGTAACCCCTACCCCCCAGCAGCACCCCTCTACCTCCCCAGCAGGCTCCTACCTAGTGTAGGTATGTGTCACAGTACCCCTACCCTCCCAGCAGTAACCCCCACCCTCCCCAGCAGTAACCCCCACCCCATACACAGTGCACCCCCACCCCCAGCAGTAACCCCCACCCCCATACGCACCCCTACCCCCAGCAGTACCCCTAACCCCCATAGCACACGCAGTGCACCCTCTAACCCCCAGCAGTACCCTACCCCCACACACAGTACCCCTACCCCCCCCAGCAGTACCCCTACCCCCCCCACGCAGTACCCCTACCCCCCACAGCAGTACTCCTACCCCACACACACAGTACCCCAACCCTCCCAGCAGTACCCCT